GAATATACACACTGGAAACAACAGTCATAGAAGAGAAACAGACGCAGCACAGAAAACTCCCAAAGCCAGCACAGAAAACTCCATATCGCGAATTTATTGCTCCAGGCCACCCTATTCTATGTACAATTACCTCTCTCCCCCCACATCCCCCCGTGGCAGCTATGTGCAGCGCCATTCTTGTCCTGCCCACAGAGCCAGGGGCTACGCCCCTATCCTAACTCCATTGGTTGTCTCCCCTGCCTCTCCCCGGTTCCTGGGTTCTTACTGGGTGTTAACCTCCCGGTCCCTCTCATTGGCTAGCCAAGTAGCTGAGCCCCCCCTTCCTTCAGCAGCCTTATAAGCCACGGGAAATTTGAATAAACCCTCTTTGCCTCTAAACAGTCTGGTGTTTGTATCCTTGGCCAGCACTAAGGATTGCATCACTGCAGCTCCATCCTAACAGATGGTCCTTTCCTTCAAACTCTGTCAGGGCAGGTCCTGTCTGACCAATCTGATCTCCTTTTATGATCAGGTGACCTACCTGGTGGATGAGGGGAAGGCTGTGGATGTGGTCTATCTGGACTTCAGCAAAGACTTTGACACCATCTCCCACAGCATACTCCTGAAAAAGCTGGCAGCCCATGGCTTGGACAGGGGCATTCTCTGCTGGGTTAGGAACTGGCTGGAGGGCTGGGCCCAGAGAGTAGTGGTGAACGGGGCTGCATCCAGCTGGCAGCCAGTCACTAGTGGTGTCCCCCAGGGATCAGTCTTAGGCCCAGTTCTGTTTAATATCTTTATCGACAATTTAGATGAGGGGATTGAGTCCACCATTAGCAAATTTGCAGATGACACCAAGCTGGGGGGGACTGTTGATCTGCTGGAAGGCAGGAGGGCTCTGCAGAGGGACCTGGACAGACTGGAGAGTTGGGCTGATTCCAACCGGATGAGGTTCAACAGGGACAAGTGCAGGGTCCTGCACTTTGGCCACAACAACCCACTGCAGCGCTACAGGCTGGGCACAGAGTAGCTGGAGAGCAGCCAGGAAGAAAGGGACCTTGGAGTTTGGATCAGTAGGAAGCTGAACATGAGCCAGCAGTGTGCCCAGGTGGCCAAGAAGGCCAATGGCATCCTGGCCTGGATCAGGAACAGTGTGGCCAGTAGGACGAGGGAAGTGATTCTTCCCCTGTACTCAGCGCTGGTGAGGCCATACCTGGAGTACTGTGTCCAGTTCTGGGCCCCTCAGTTCAGGAAGGATATTGAGGTGCTGGAGCAGGTCCAGAGAACAACCAGGCTGGTGAAGGGACTTGAACACAAGTCCTGTGAGGAGAGGCTGAGGGAGCTGGGGTTGTTTAGCCTGGAGAAGAGAAGGCTCAGGGGAGACCTCATCACTCTCTACAACTACCTGAAAGGAGGTTGTAGCCAGGTGGGGGTTGGTCTCTTTTCCCAGACAGCTATCAGTAAGACAAGAGGGCATGGTCTTAAGCTCTGCCAGGGGAGGTTTAGGTTAGATATTAGGAAGAAATTCTTTACAGAGAGAGTAATTAGGCATTGGAATGGGCTGCCCAGGGAGGTGGTGGATTCTCCGTCCCTGGAGGTATTTAAGAAGACTGGATGTGGCACTTAGTGCCATAGTCTAGTAACTGTGGTGGTAGTGGATCAAGGGTTGGACTTGATGATCTCAGAGGTCTTTTCCAATCCATCTGGTTCTATGATTCTGTGAACAAAGAGTATTAAGTTCAGGCTACCAAGGTGTTATTTCCCATCCTCATCTATTCTGAAGCATGAACTTGATTCCCTTTTCCTGACTTAGACTGAGAACTCAAATCCATTTCTTGCCAATTAAAAATAAAGTAGAATGGTGAGACACAACAACAAAACTGAAACACTTTCCTTCCCCAATCCCCTTCTTCCCAGGCTTACTTTCACTCCTTCATTTCCAACTTTATACCTCTTCTCCCCCCACTTCAGGGGCGGGGAGAAAATCATAGAATGGTTTTGGTTGGAAGTCCTTCACAAACTGCTCCAGCATAGGTCCTCTCCATGGGGTACAGTCCTTCAGGAATGGACTGCTCCAGTGTGTGTCCCCTAGGGGCTGCAATTCCTGACAGAAAACCTCCTCCTCTCCAAAGGTATGCTCTCTAGAGGGTGCAGCTTCCTTCAGGGCACATCCACCTGCTCTGGTGTGGAGCCTCTGCGAGCTGCAGGGTGGATATCTGCTTTGGAGTGGTCTTCTCCACAGGCAGTAGGGAAACCTCTGCTCCAACACCTGGAATACCTCCTACCCCTCCTTCACTGACTTAGGTGTCTGCAAAGCTGTTTCTCTTGCATTTTCCCCCTCATTCCTCCCTCTCTCACAGACACACTCTGCTGCACAGCATTTCACCCTTTCTTAAATGTTACCACAGAGGTTCCCCAGCCTCACTGATTGGCTCATGTTTGGCCAGTGGCAGACCTATTTTGGAGCCAGTTGGAACTGGCTTTGTCCAGCACAGCAGCAGCCCCTGGTCCCTTCTGATGGAGGCTGCCCCTACAGTCTCCTCACTACCAAAACCTCACCACATAAACCCAATATAACTCTCTATACATACACACTTTTTCCTTTCCCCCTCCCCCTAATTTGTATTACCTACTTCTACCAAAAAGACACCAATAGATGAAAATACTTCCATAATTATATTTGTGGAATCTTTAACTCCCACTTAGGTTTCTTGAAAGCAGGAACTTATAATAGTGGTTTTCAATTTATCTTTTTAATCTTCTGTGAAAGGTACGAGTTTATACAGCAAATTCAAGCCTGCTGAAAAAGAACTGGCTTTACTTAATTATCTTTTGTGGTCCACAGACTATTAAATCAACAAAGCAAATTCAATCCACAGAAATTAGTGTCTTGTATTAACATCAGCTTTCAAGAACATAAACAATGGTAAGAGATGTTGATGCAAGAAGCACTTTCTGCTTGCTGGAAAAAGGAAGTACAATTGCACCCCAGCCAGCTACTTTCTAGATAAGTTTTACTTAGCCCACCCTTTTTTACCTACAGAGAAGTAAGGTCTGTTCAAGAGTTTCCTGATAGCAAATGACAAGCACACAAATAGGTTTTCCAGGATCTGTCTGAATTAGGCTACAGGGTTAATGACTGATACAAGCATAAGGGAAAAAGAGTTTAATATTTTAAAACTTTTTTAAAGCTTTAAATTGTGCTCAGCAGCACATTTAAGATGCAAAAAGTCTTACTTCACAGGTAACTATCATGTTTTAAGTAATGTGCATCTTCCTGATATTTGCTTATAATAAAGTTGTCTGAATACGTTTTTGATATTTAGTTGGTTTAGTCTTGAGAATTGCTACAGCTTTTGAGTAACTTTGATCTACTGGTATTTACAAGTGGTCATAGTTTGATATGCAGTATTCTTCCTACATTAGCTAGGTGGCTCACTTGAAGTAGTAAAAAACTTCATAAATACAAAGTCATCAGAGTTGTCCCCAGTAAGTTAATCAGGGGTCTTAGTTATAACTCTCTAAAAGTTCAGAAGACTAGCTTTGGTCACACTGTTTTATTTTGTTCATGTTCCTCTACTCAACTGACAAGGCTTATTGTTGAGTTTGGTTGGGGTTTTTTGGTTTTTGTTTTTGGTGGGGTTTTTTGTTTGGTTGGTTTGGTTTGGGGTTTTTCTTTTTAATATAAGTAATCAGGAATATTTTGCCACTTACTAGAAGAAACCCAAAATTTGTTTACTAACTAAACAAGTACCATCTTTACTGGAAGTAGAAATCAACAACAAAAAAAGCTTACAAGTTATTCACATGATTCAAAGTTTACTGACTTCCTAGAATATTTCTAGGTATAACATCAAAGCCTGAAATTAACAGCTTCTTTTTTTTAAGTTTCTTTAGTTTTACTGTTCATAGGTTTCCTACAAATTTACACCTAATATCACCTAAACACTTCTCTCCCCCCTTCTTCCCACCCCATTACTCACTATGTTACATGCAACCTTAATGGCCAGCATGTGCTGAATGATCATTATCTTCTTGGATCTTTTTCACTTGGAGCAATAATTTAGATCTATCCCCTCTACCCAACTGGCTGTTTTCATAAAGTCCACAGAACTCAGTTTTCTTTATGACCTCTGACTCATGAAATCAACTAACAGGTTCAACAGGCTGTGATCAGAAAGAGGAGGAGACAGACAAGACAGATAGGTAGACTGACAACATAATCACAACAGCTTCTATTTGTAAGTTTCCCTTGCCTTCTTAAATCTGAAGCATTCATCCTATTCCTACTTTTAGAAATATTAATTTCCTAGTGCAGTAGATACTTGTTCAATTTATCAGTGTTCTAAAATAAGAATTCAATTCCACCCCTACAAGTTCACTGTTATCCTTATCTTGCAGCAGGAAAGTTCTAACCAGGCATTTCCAACGGAGTGAACCCTCTACACATCCTAGAACACCAGCAATCAACATTAGAGGAGCGGATTTTTTTTTTTTTAATTAAGAAAATATCTGGGAAAACTGTACTTTCACTTTGGAAAACAAACATGAAGTTAACACTTTCCATTATACTGCTCTGACAACTCAATAAAAAAAAAAAAAAAAAGGAAGCCTCCTTGGAATTAACAGTCCACTGTTCCAACTTTAGAGATAGCATAGTTTGGGGGTTATACAGCACATATTATGCATGCATGCCATGCACTCTATAGATAGACATGAGTTTTACTTTATCATTTCAATCTAATCTGTTTCAGCTTTTGACACTTCAGACAACTTTTGAGGAAAAAGAGAGTAATGCTGATAGACCTTTAATAGAATTAAAATTGTATTATGTAAGGTATGTACACGATTGTTATGGTCATTAAATGAAACTAACTGATTCTAACAAGCAGATTATGCATCTGTAAAAAAGCATGGTCAGTCCACTTGCTCACCAGGAAGCTTTGGCACTAAGTTAAAACATAAACCAGTTCTAAAAAAACAAAATACAGGAGAATATGTAACCAAGGACTGAACGTGCTTACCTTGACTCTCCGCTACTGTTTCTTACAACATCTTCATCACTGTGCCCATTCATTGTAAGTATTAAGAAGTTTAAAAGATAAATAGAAGTCCGCTCAGGTTAGAAGGCAGATGTCAAGAAATTATTTCTTGGTACTCTGTTTTCCAGGTGACTTTTTTACTCAACTGTTCTCTGCAAGATTTTTCCCAAATTACCTAAAGTAGTAAAGGAAAATGTTGACATAAATGGAAATATTTGATAGTTGCAACTGAAAGATACTGAAAATAACCTATCCTAACACCACTGAAAGGGAGTATCTATCACATTTGGCATCTTCTTTTTAATTGAAAAATAACTTTTGGTGTGACATAGTCCTGTCTTAAGAACAACCCGATCTTACTTTTAGAGGAAAACAGCCTCCCGAAACACATAAATAAATTTTATGAATATTAATGCTCTAAAATCTGATTAGCAAAATCATTTTGTGCACAAAACACATATCAGAAGCAGTTCTAGACACAAAGTTTACATTCTGTTAGGCGTAGTCAGGAAAATAAAGACTGTCCCATTTTAAAAAAATGGCTCAACTACATCAAGCTAAGAAGATGCCACAGATGGAGTGATGATTATTTCATATGCATTAACATCTTCAATCAGATCTCTACCGTGTCAGATGCATCTAGAAAAAGTTTAGGTTCACTTTAAATGGAGTGCAAATATGAACTCATTGGTAAGAAGCTGAAGAGCGGCGCCTCTCACAGAATAAGTGGTGTGAAAGCAATTAGGGGCTCTTTAATACAGCCCGACCTACAGTTCATAGTGGAGGCGGAGGCCGCTTCGTTCCGGGATGGAAAAAGCCCTCCGCTCAAGCACTATCTCAGATACCAGGGCCACTCCAGACAGCAAACAAAGGCAATGACGGAAGAAAAGTGATAGGAAAGAGCCCTGTAACCCCAGAGAGGCCGCGAAGCGAGGCTGGGGCCCCCGCGGCGGCGAGTCAGGCAGCTGGATGGTTTCTCGCGGATCGGCCGCTGGCTGCCCAACGAGGCCAAGATCCGTACTATCTGTCCTCCCACGCCCAGGGTGCGAACACTCTGCCGCCTCCGGGACCAGCACTCCCTGGGCCCCAGGAAAGATCTTAAGAGACCACGTAACTCTCCTTGTCGGCTACTCCCTGCTCCGCGACGATCCTGCCCGACGACCTACACCGCGCTCTCGCGGCCTCCCGTGACCGACCGCTCCCAAGGCGCTCCCGAGGAGAGCCTAGGCCAGGGCTTCCTCCCTACCTCTCGCGAGTTCACCTCCCGCCCCCGAAAACGGCCCTCTGGTGGTGGCGCGACCCGCAAAGGCGCCGCTCCTGGCCAAGGCTTCCTGGAAATATTGACAAGGCGGCCGCTGTCTTCCCTGCTCGCTCCTCCCAGCGCCCCCCCCGCTCCCCAGCTAGAGAAGAGCAAAGGCCCTCAGCCGGTTCGTCACGCTCCCCCCGAAGAACCCAGCGAAAGAGGCTCAGTCCCGACTGCCCGCCTCAGCTTTCACAGCTCTCTCCCTCCCTCTTCGGAAAACAGCGACCGGATACAGGAGTCCAGCGGCACGCTGGGCATCCAACCCCCTCTTCTCAACGCCAGTCGCCTCTCCATCCATCTTCGAAAGCGACAACCACTGCGCAACTGCGAAACAGGGAAAAGGAAAGGAGCCATGGCGGCCCTCTGCCTACCTGCGTGCGTGCGCCCGGCTTGGCTTTCTTAGGGCTGCCCCGGTCCGAGGCGGCGCTACACCCCACGAAGAGGTCTGTGCTACAACCTAGGGTCAGAGACTGCTCCTGTGGCCGCCACTAGGTCTGTGCTGCCGGCTCCTTACAGCCCCACGCGGTGGGCTCGCCTGCAGCTCTCACCGGCTTGAGCAATAGGGCCCCAAACCGGGCAGGGAGAACCCTGGTGAGTAAGTGCTCTGTTGCTCCGCCGCCTTTCCTTATGTCCTCCCAACCACCGCCATCACGCTGCCACTCCGCTCAACCTCCTCCTCCCTTAGTTGGATGGAAACCCTGGGCGTGATGTCAGTCCTGCGCCCTGGGACAGAGTGGGGAGGAGGAGGAGCAACAGTCGGGAGGGGACAGCGCCGCCGGGACAATAGCACCAGGAAGGGCTGCTTGGAGGGCATGGCGGAGCCCAAGCGGCTTTCTAATTGCGCCGGATACTGCAGGGCCCGGAGGCAGCAGGTGCCCGCCTGCCCCGCCGCAGCAGTGAACGGCCGCTGAGGCCGGTGCCGCTCCTGGTGCCTGCTGCAGCTCCTGTGTGAGGGGGCAGGGCGCGGCGCGGCACGGTCCGGCCTGAGGGACGCCCATGACTCGCCCAGCGTGGCAGGCAACCTGGCCTAAGCTACACGTTACTGGTTAGCGTGGTGTGGTTTGTGGGTTTTTTTTGTTTGTTTTAGGTTTGTCCTGTCTAAAATCAGAGCCCCCTAACAAACATATATGCATTTCTTAGTCTTCCTATGCCGTTACAGTTGGCATTAGGGCATATTTAGGAAGGCTTGGCATGCAGCTGCACAGAGAACACTTGCCTCCTTGAGGAAAGCATCCCCCAGCTGGAGGCAGAACACTCTTGATATCTAACTCGAGTTGTTTTGAAGCGATCAATGAGAAAGATCTTTGTTTAAGGTGGCTCATGCTCAAAAAAAAAAAATCGTCTTACTGCTGGAGTCTACATGTTCTCAGAGTGGCAAAAGAAAGTAGTGGCTGCTGATTGAAAGACTTCTGCTCTGAGCAACAGTGTGTTGGAAAGAGGAAGTAATTTATCTGCTTTGTCCTCTTTGTATTCCTACATATTGTGCTGGTTTTGGCTGGGGTAGAGTTAATTTTCTTCATAGTAGCTAGTATGAAGCTATGGTTTGGATTTGTTCTGAAAACAGTGTTCATAATTCAGGTTTTGGTTTTTTTTATTGCTGAGCAGTGCTTACACACAACCAAGGCCCTTTCTGCTTCTCACACCACCCCACCATTGAGTAGGCTGGGGATGCACAAGAAGCTGGGAGGGGACACAGCCAGGACAGCTGACCCCAACTGACCAAAGGGATATTCCATACCATATGACATCATGTTCAACATATAAAGCTGAGGGAAGAAGAAGGAGGGGGAGGATGTTCGAATTTATGGCATCTGTCTTCCCCAAGTAACCGTTACGCATGATGGAGCCCTGCTTTCCTGGAGATGGCTGAACACCTGAACACCACTGAATTAATTCTTTGTTTTGCTTTGCTTGTGTGTGCGGCTTTTGCTTTACTTATTAAACTGTCCTTATCTTAACCCACAAGTTTTCTCACTTTTCCAATTCTCTCCCCCATCCTGTCACCAAAATTGTTGCAAAAATAACACTGTAATTTCAGTATTAGAAAGCAGGCATTACTTTATTTCGGCAACAGATGCATGGGGGATCACTCCTCCTGACATGCACACACCAACTATCAAAACTTTTAACTATTTATACATTTTAGCAAACAAAGGAGTTAGTGTTCATTGGCTACAAGTTATATAGTCCTCTTATTAATTAGTATTCTATCTTCTGTTGGTTAATGATCTCTCGCTTCTCATGCTAATTAGTCTGTGTGCTCAGTCTTTCTCTTCTTTTGGGTCAGTGGGTTTCTTGGGTCCGTGGTCACAGATCTCTCCCTGCCAGAATTACCTTTTACCCAGTCAGAGCTGATTTCAGCACAATTGCTGAGTTGGTTTTATTAGTTTCTTCCTTATCTTGGGAGTTCTGCCAAATGTCCCATAAATTCTGCATTCTTTGTGTCCACTATCAGTTGTGCATTCTCCTTCCCCAAGCTTTGTTAAGCCTCCTCCCAGGTCTGAGATCATTGAAGCATGTCAATCCCTAAATTTAATTTGGTTTTCTAACATATGGACATCACTTAGAGCTTGCTTGCTAGCTGCTAATCTGTTTCATGGATTAAATTTCCCTTCTTGTTGATTAGGCTTGAAAGTTTACAAAGATCAAACATCAAAGAACATCCTTTCTTAAGAAATTTTTACATATTCCACATTTTGCAACAATTAGGCCGAACCTTGTTTCATAACCCCTTTCTCATTCCCTGTAACTCTCTGAGCAAATTGTTAACTATTTTTGACTCTTGAGATGTCAGTGTCAGCAAGACTAAACACTATTTGTTACAATTAAAGATTTTCCCAACAATCCCACTATGGGGGGAGTGAATAAGTGGCTGTGTGGTATTTAGTTGTTGTCTGGGCTTAAACCATGACACATATGCAATCACACTCCATCATGCTAGGAAGGATTGTGGGGTCGTTACTGACCAGGATGTGGTACTATACTTGGAATTTTCTTCAGCACCTTGCAAGAGTAAAAGAGGTTAACATGAATAGACAGTTTGCTCATGAAGGAAGGAAGGGCTTGAGAGTCATTCTATGTATATGCCAGAGTAAGGTGGCTACAATAACTGTCAAATCAGTTCATATCTGAAGATTTGTGTTGGCCAGGAGCCAGCATCTGAGTCACAGTCAGTCAGAGATGTTGGCCTAGGGTTTATCTCATAGCTGCTCCCCCTAGGGTGAGCAAAGCTGTGCAGCCAAGACACCTACCAACCCCTCAGCAGGGCTGCAGGGGTTTCCTGTTGCTGCTTCTTCAGCCCACCAACTGTTGGGATCAGCTGTTATACACAGCAATTCTATCTCCTTTTTGGAACCAGACTGCAGCAGCAGAGGCTAGGTGAGGCATTTCCACTAGTCCATCTCAAGCACCATATAAAAATACCTCAAAATCTCAGGAGTTAAAAACAGAATAAACTTTTTTTTCACCCTTAGAAATAATAATTGAAAAAAAAAGCATAAGAAGGTGTTTAGACAAGAAAACAGCTTCAAAGCCTATAAAAAAGCTGTATTAGACTATGTTCCTTCCTGAGGCACTTAAGTTCACTGATGTCAGCTTAAGGGATAATATTTCATGTGGTGATAGACAATGACACCACAAGATCAATGGAATTTAAACTCAAGAATGTCAGAATGAAAGTGCTTTAAATTAATTTTAAATTTTAATTTAAATGAAGGTAATTAATACTGAAACACTTTATCAAGGTGTACTGGGTATGACTGTGATGGAGTTAATTTTCTTTGTAGCAACCCACATGGCACTGCATTTCAGATTTGCGACTAAACCAGTGTTGATAACACTGTTGTGGCTATTGCTGAAGGATGCTTACACAAACATCCAGGCTTTCTCTTTTCTCCACTCTGCCCCCACAGCAAGTAGTCTGGGGGTGGGCATGAAGGCTGGGAGGGAACACAACATAGACAGGTGACCTGAATCGGCCAAAGGAATAATCCATGCCATACAATGTCATGTTCAGCAATTAAAACTGAGAGGAGAGGGTTTTGAGTGACATAGCCATTGCTCAGGGACTGGTTGGACATCAATCTATTTGAGGGATGTGGTGTTTGTCTTTGCATTAATTGTGGTTTTATTTTCTTTAATTTTCTTCTTTCCTTTACTTATTAAAGTATCTTTATCTTGACCCACAGTTTTCTTGGTCTTCTTATTCTCTTACCTGTCCTGCTTGTGTGGGGGTTGGGTTGAGTGAGTGGCTGTGTGGTTGTCCTAGTTTCAGGGGCTGGGACCAGTTTATCACTATGTGGGTATAACCAAAACGGTGTATTCTACACCCTCTATGTCATTTCTGATGGACTGTTAATAATGGATCATTTGCAGCAGCTGCCTAGGCACACCTGACACCTCTGACTACAAGCTGGGTGTTAAAGAACTCTGAGAGGAGTGTTTCTTTGTCTTCACACTGAATACTCAGCTGTGATAACTCCCCTCCGGGGAGGCATTAGCACCTTCATGCCTAGCCTGAGGGGTCATCTCTGCTAATGAGCCATACTGGACTGGCATAATAGGAAGCTGCAAGGACCTAGACCATCAAAGACTCCAAAAATATCCCTTGTCTCAACAGAGGTAAATCACCTATTGTGGAACTCCCTGCCCTGGGGGAGGTACTGGACATTCCCACCTGAACCTGAGCATATATAATCTTGGGGTTTGTGGACTTCTGGTACCACTTGTTGGATCCAGAGGAGGACCAGAACTTCAACCGACCTGTGACTGTCACTCTCGAAAAGACTGCAATCATTGCTTCAACAGAACTGTGACCAACAGGTTTTCCTTTCCTTTTATTTTGCACCCAGGGGGGCCACGTGGTGCTCAGCACAGGGGCTAACGAACACTGTTCTGTTCTTGTCCCAGGGTGCTGGGTTATACATCTGTTTTGTGAGTTAAAGCCAGTTTTTCTCTGTATCATTATATTTATTGTAATCTTTTTACTAAATTGTAACTCTGACTTGTAATCTCTCTTGAGTTGGATTCATTTTTCCCACTGGTTTACTTTTAAACCAGCACAGTGGTGCTTAGATGTTGAATAAGACCCCAAATCTGCAAACATTTTGAATATTTTCACAAATTTCTGGCATTCCTCTGATAAGTGTTTAGGGCAAAGGAGTTCAGGAAGGCTGGACATTCTTCAAGAAGGAAATCCTAAAGGTGCAGGAACAGGCTGTCCCCATGTGCCAAAAAATGTTCTGGCAGGGAAAAAGACTGACCTGGCTGAACAGACAGCTTTGGCTGGAACTCAGGACAAAAAGAGAGTTTAGGAACTTTGGAAGAAGGGGCAGGCAACTCAGGAGGACTACAAGGATGTCATGAGGTTATAGAGGGAGAAAATTAGAATGGCCAAGGCCTGACTAGAAGTTAATCTGGCTATTGCCATAAAAGACAATTAAAATGTTTTTACAAATACATAAGTAATAAAAGGAGGGCTAAGGAGAATATTCATCTTTTTTTGGATACAGGGAGAAACATAATGGCAAAGGATGAGGAAAAGGCTGAGGTACTTTATGCTTTCTTTGCCTCAGTCTTTGATAGTAAGACTGGTTGTTTTCCAGGTACCCAGCCCCCTGACCTGCAAGAAAGGGAGGACAATGAAGTCCCTATAAGCCAAGACGAAATAGTAAGTGACCTGCTACACCACTTAGACATGTACAGGTCTAT